CAGGGCTTGTCGGAGTACTTGAGGCGCTTGGCTTCCTTGCGGGCCCTGGCAAGGCGTTAGTCTGGTTGTCGTCGTAGTGGCGTGAACAAACTTGTAGGGGCGTCGAGTATTGTTCAGTGTCATGTTCGGCCCGCCATTCCCACGGCCTCTGCGACCGCGAGTGCCGGTGGGTTTATACTGACGATGATTCGGTATCAAATGACCAGATTTCCTAGTAAATGATGGTGGGGGGCGAGACGACGCGGGCTTGGACGTTGATGGCGGCTTGGGGACTAAAAGGTATTATTACGGCTGCATGAACGTAGGTGGCCCACGCACGATCTTTGCGGACGAGAGAACGGGAAGAGGATTGAAATGCAACACCGTTGAGAACTACTTCCTTCGGCTGGGTCGAGCTTGAAGGGCGGGCTTGAGGTGGGGGCGTTCTTGAAGTGGGTCCGGTATATGCCGCCCTGGGTGGAGGCGGTCGATAGCTAGGATTGACGTAAGTGTTGCCCCGTCGCTGGGCAGGCTGAGCTTGCGCCTTGTGCATGTTGATAAACGCTAAGCAGGATGAAGAACAACAGCCAAAAGTCAAAATTCGGGAGAACGCACCACTGAGGCGTGCTATCTCGCTTTTCATCTGTGCTTCAGTAGCCATGACGGTCGTGAAGAAAGGGCTCTTTGTTTGGCAGTATTGATCGGAGAATAGAGCTGACTAACTCATCCGTATGCCTGTTTTATGGCTCCCGCAACCGCGACTCTTGTTGCCCTAACCTGCAAAGCCTACATAAACTCGGGACTTGCCTCTATCAAAGTATCTGGCCTTCAGACGCTTGTTAAAGCCCTGCATGATGAACAAAGAAATCAAGGGCATGGAGTGGTCACTGGTGGGTTCAGTGCTACCGTTCGGGAATTAGTGCTTATTTCTACAGTCAGCAACCACATATCCACGTACGACTTGTCCTTCCCAAAGTAATTTGGTCTCAACAACAGCAGGCTCGATGACCCGATGACCTGGGCTGTTCTCCCATGGCGTTATTTCCAAAACCCTCGTCTAACCCGTTGGACCTTGGGCGCTTCGGAAATCATGTTCACAAATCCGTGCGCGCCAACTATAGCCCTGTCACCACTTTTCTCAATATCTTTTAGTTTCCTGAGTGAATTCTTCAGTCATGGACAAGTTCTCGAGACATTTCGCGGCATGGGTATCTTTCAGCCCTCCGTGAACACCTCGATAGAAAAGCTCAACCAGGGTGAATGGATTCACTTGTACGGCGAAGGGAAGGTCAATCAACCCGCAAAATACGAGCTTGACGCGTCCGGTCGCGCCAGTCTACCGCGCTTCAAGTGGGGCGTGTACGTCCCACAACCTCTCGACCCTCATAAACTAATGGCATCTCAGTGGACACATGATCACTTCCGCTTCCAATATCCCCACTGTGATACCTATGTGGATATCAGGATTCGACAAGCTAATGCCCGAAGGTCGTCGGGCACCGTTCAAGTACTTCCCACGACCCGGAGCGCAATTGACCGTCACGTTTGGCGACCCCATTGCTCCGGAAGCGCTTCTCAAGACTATCCAGAATATCCCCGAAGCAGACCCTGTCCGGATACGCACGCATGTCACAACGCTTGTCCATGACGCCGTTGAATCACTTGGACGATCTGTATCAGGCAACACATTAGGGAATGCAGTTCCAAAAGACCCATTAGAGTAGACCCTAACAAAAGGAGTTCATTGCTTTCATAGGTTCATAATTTGTAGGACCACTGAGATTAGCTGCGAGATGCAAAATTCGACTTCTCAGTCCCGACGATGCCAGTAACATTCTAATATGGCCCCGGAGTCGGCGACGGTTTGCTGAGTGTTGTCGTTGCGTATAGCATGCCCATTGTGTAGCGCGCGCGGTAGAAAATCCACATCTTTGGCTCCGTGCTACTGCAATGGATCTCGCGGCCATTGACTAGACTCGTCGCTAGAAAACATGTCATTGTCCACAGCGGCGACTCGAACTCAGACATTACTCACTCTCTCCCCGGTGCTCGTTTGAGTAGCGTTGCGACGACAGGACTGGACCGGAGCTATGCCCGAACCTGGTTTTTACTGCCCACTATTGGTAGCCTAGTATATGAAAAGTGCTATTATAGTGTATGTGTAGCAGGTTGCTGACGGCTGGGCTCTGGCAAGCAAATAGCATCGATAACACGAACCTACTGCAAACAAAAAATGTTATGACCACCGCAGGGGTCGAACCTGCAATCTCCTGATTCGTAGTCAGACGCGATGCCATTTCGCCAGGCGGCCATGTCGGTCACCTTAGTGCAAAAGATTCAATGCGGGCCGGTGTCCCGAGCTCCCTTGCACAATCAATCGAAACCGCTTGCCCACAAACGGCCATCGTCTCCTTGTCATGGCACACCGAGCCCGTGGGAATATAGCAGAGGAAGAAGATGCGGCGACACTGAAGCTCGGACCTGGTTGGTGATTCATCACCCTTGGTTCTCTTTGTCCCAACGGGCGCGCCAGACTTTCAGAACGCAGGTTGTTTGCTCATTTCGGAGGTCAAATACTTGTTGGAGAATAAGGATAGAGAACCCCCTGATACTGCGTACGTGGCTTTGCAACATTCAATGTATCGACCTACATAACTCTTCTCAGTGTGTACACCAAAACCTTGGAGTACGTCAAGACATTCGCCAAGTTCAGCAGTACGGATTCAGCTGGTGCCGTTCGCGAGTGCGTTCCTTTGAATTGTCCAAGCTACCAGAATGAACATCAGAGATAGGATTCTCCGACGCGAGGCGCAATTGTCGCAGTTTGAGATAGCCCAAATCGCGAATCTATGTCCAGCTACATCGGAGGAGGCGAAGAGCATCATTCCAAGGTTCGTGACATACTCTACCTCGTCTCCACTACCTGATTATCTTTCTATCTAGTCTCGTGAAAGTAGACGATGATAGGTTACAAGCCCTTCTTGACGAGATACAGATAATGCGCAAGTTCCAGTCGTAGCATTGATTCCCACACTTTTGCGTGTATTCTCTTTCACTATTTCAGAATTCACAGTGTTATGCTACGTTTTCTCATACGTGCCACATTGAGTCGCGTCCATGCATCTTCAACTTGTCGAATCCGACAATCAACCGTGTACGGACCACTCACTCACGTCAGGCGGACAACAAGCGGGCCGCATCATCCTATATTATCTTCAAGACTGAACCTGGACTCGAGGACTGACCATCATGTTGTGTAGGACTGTGATACTGGCGGTCTCTCTCGGTAGTCTCCTCTCTGTATCTGGACTCGGCACACCAGAACCCACAACTCTGTGGACATACAACGGCATCCTCAACCCGGATGATCCTCTCAATGCCGGCATCGAGACTCTCGCTGGTGTGCAGAATCTTCTTGTACACAATGGCTCGGCGAGTGGCCGCAGCTATGCACACCATGCCATCGCAGAGTACATATCCGGGACACTCTACCTTGCTTGGAGCTCTGGACTCATAGACGAGGACCAGAATGGGCAACAGACCTGGATTGCGCAAGGTAGCTTATCGAACGAAATGTCGGAATGGTCATTTGGGGAGCCGCGTGTGGTTGTGGGTAGTGCGCTACTCACGAATCAGAGTGAAGAGGCCAACTACACATACTGGTGCGACAATAATGTGGGTGTATCCTACGAGACAATGGAGATATGCATTTACCTTGAGGGCAGATTGTCCAACGGGCCAGCCAGCCAAACGCTGTCGTACCTTTCGAAGGAGAGGTTTATCTCATTACAGAGCTGGTGGACATCGTATGTTTCGCGGAGGGCACAAGCAAGTATACTGTCGGAGCTGGACGCTACATTGTCCCACTCTCTGTTCCGGATGAAGCGGGATGCTGGCTCTCACAGACAGAATACTACACGGAGCACCTATACAACCAGACCAGCCTTTCCGTTGACATCTGCCCAGAGCTGTTAATGACTGGCTTGTCCGCCTTGCTCGAAAGGCCAGACATATTGCCGTTTACGAATGCGCGGCTCATCAACGCAGGTCAATTCTTTGCTTCGGACGGACAGACGCCTCTTCAAGAGGTTACCCACGCTGTGTGGTTTGATGATGGTCAAGGAAGTGGGTACTGGCAACGATTCTGGCGGGACGTGAAAGGTAGCAATAACTCACTGGTATGTTATCGTACAACCCATCGCCATAGCGCTCATCGTATGCAGGTAAATTGGGTAGAATTTACCAGTGATCCAAAGGGTGCCGACTGGTTCCCGAATACTTTCACGCCTGCGCAAAATTCGATTTATGCCTCGAATATCCCGGACAGCAACACAAAGTCGTTTTACGGATCGCTTGGTTCCTCCAGAAATGGATCTCTTGCTCCAACATACTTAGTACATAACCCTCAGTACTATCCAGAGACGCGGTGGCGGCAGCCTTTGGCTCTCACCATAGCCCACGACGGTGTACACTTCGAATGGTCGAGGGTCTTACGGACAAACGGGTCGACTCACATCGTACCAGATACAAGGTGAGCTGTGCTCAGTTCGCGTAGTGGCCAACAGCTAACAGGAACAGAGGAATCAAACGAGTGGGATTCTCTTACCCTCATGCGACTTTGGTAGGAGATGAGCTGGTGGTTGCGTATAGCGAAGACAAGGAGAACATATGGATCAGCCGAGTGTCGTTGTCCAGCCTTGGATAATGTCACTCGCTCCTGAAGAAGGCTCGAGGTTGTTGACTGTACTTCTCAGAATTTCTTGGGGTACTTTTGCATAGCCCGGATAGTACCAAGTTGTGCACCAAATCTCTTGGTAGTAGTAATCATACTGATCCATATGCTGTTCTGCAAGCGCATCAACTGTGACAGCGATCTTGGCATACACATGATTGGTCTCTCTCAACACGCCAATCTAAGTGGCGGCACTGCAAAGTTCAATGTTTGTTGTTGCATGCATCGGAGACGTTGTGCGGCTGAGGCATGTTTAACCTGGAGGATATGACGCCGAATGGCCGAATACGGCGAGATGGCCGAGCGGTCTAAGGCGCCAGACTAAGGATCAGCTTGCTGTGCAAGTGTCTCATCTGGTCCGAAAGGGCGTGGGTTCGAATCCCACTCTCGTCATTTTGGCGCTTATTGGTACCATTTACCTTTAATGTCGGTCGGACCCTCGGGGGTCATCTTATTGTCTCTGCCATTGAAATAACGACAATATTCACAGCCATCTTTTGCTTCTGTGTGAAGTAAACGTTGAACACTGGCACCCTTGGCAATATTCCCGCCACAGCAGCGGCGTCTCGGCTTTTCGATCGCGAGTTGCCGCCTGCAGTGCCTGAACAGTATTGTACCCAAACCCCCATCACTAACTTAGCCCATGATACCTGCATTCCTCATTTTGTCGTAGCGATGGTGGGGCAATCAGTAGCCTACTCAATACTCGTATTGATGCAACCTTTAGGTGTTTGTTAACAACAAGAAATTCGCGTGGTATGTAGTCGGTTTGACAATCGTGGGCACAATAATGATATATGTTCCAGTGAATCTTGCATTAAAGGCCATCGCTCTTCGTCCTGCTCACACAACGACCGCCCGTTATTCGAGATCAAGAAGAAGGGTCGTCCTATTTCTCAATGCGAAAAGTGCCGCGAACTTCGCCAATCTCGTCGGGTCCATTCTAAATGCAATTGCAATCCCGCCGAAGAAGGGACCTCGACACAGACAAAGTTGAAGGGTACAAATAAAGGTGCGGCTCTCAGAAGTTGCTGCTTGCCATCGGTGCCAACATTCCACAGCGAGACAACGATTTATTCCCATCGTGCCTGCTCTACCCAACGGTATCCAAGATGCCATCCGCCCCTCTACGTCTGGGACGTCCAGACCGCCTGACTCCCGCCAGCAGGGTGCGTTGACACATTTCCATCCCGCACATCCACTCTCATCTCGATATTTGATACTCAGTGTCTACACTGCTGAACCCGTGCACTTGTAACCTGCGCCGATGCAAATGTGGCGCCGGCCAGAAACGAGCGCCCGAGGACTGTAGTGGGCTTTCCACCTTGGCTGAGGCAGCAGCTGCCCTCGAGTCTACCCCGCCCAAATCCAAGACGCCGCCTCCCAAAGCCCGCATCATCACGCGCCCAAACAGTCCCAGCCGCAAGCGTCGGAAACATACTCACCCTCGGTCAACACCTCCTCCCCAGTCGCCTGTCCAACTGCCGCCCATCACTCTACCAGAGTTCACTGGCACGGCAAATGTCCCAACGTTCGACACCATCCCTTCCATTAGCAATATCATGTCCATCGAGGGCTCGGGCTGCACATGTGGTCTGTCCTGTTCCTGCCTCGGCTGCACCGAGCATCGTGGGGAAGAACATGCAGACAAGGACCACGGATGCTGCAACGACGGCTCCTGCCGTACGTGTGAGGATAATCGACATGGACTTGAGCTCCCTCCTCCTTCTGGTGCACTGCAGAATTTTTACGCCCTCGCGAAGAGGCTGCCGGAGCCCCCGAAGACAGGTCTCGGCGTGTCCATCGACCCCATGCGGGTATACGGCAGCCAATGGGATAGCTGGGCCACTAGACAATCAGTCCAACTTCCCAAGTTAGACTGCTGTGGTGGAAATTGCGGTTGTCCTGGTGGAAAATGCGGATGCGGCAAACAGTGCGATGGCTGCTGCGACCAACATACCGCTCAGGAAACTTCCTCGAGCTCAATCCCACAGTCGTCGTCAGTACCAAACGAAGCTTCACCAGTTGTTGCGCCAAAGAAGAGCTGCTGCTCCCGTTGATCTCTCCTTTTGGTTTTGGGTTCGCTATACATCTTCTTTCGACGTTCTACTTATCGCACAATTTTTTGAGGAGTCCTTGCTCATGTACTATAGTTATGCCGTCTCCAGCCACTTCTTGGTCAACCATTTCCTTGCGAACCCTCGCGAATACCAGGACCTACTTACGCTCAGCGATAGATCGTGTGCACACGATCCCCAGAGGGCCTTGATGATCTATATCACTCTGGTATTCTTCTCTCTGATTAAAGAATTTGATTGGGCGGCCATTGTTGTCCTCATCGTGTACGGTGTGATTGCTACTTCGTGTTTAGCTGCCAACGATATGCTCATCCTCGCGGATGGAATGACCAAACGATGAGACGTGGGGAGCTGCCAAAGCGCCGACTGGCACACAATCTTTGAAATGTCAATAGTACTTACCCTGTGTTTTCTTACGGAGCAAACGACACTGTCTTGTTTTCTCGGCGAGCTATGGCAATGGAAAGGAACAGGAAGGAAGTCATGCTGTATGAGATATAGAAAACTTGACCGGACTTTGTGTGATTCTCTTTGAGGACAAAGCTCATTGATAAGTACACAAGATTAGTCGAATTGCATCTACAATTTCAGTGTCCACTTCCGTACCCATTGTTTAACGGAAGACCTGTAACCTTGCACAATATTACTGCATTTGCTTTAGGGTCGTACTAGTATTGCGTTGGACATTAGACTAGACCTCGAGAGACAGAAGATTGCGTATATAGACAGCCGTAAAATAGTAACCAGACCAAGTGACGAACAACAAAAAACATACAACAGCAATGTAGCTATGTCTACCCCAGAGTCTCAACTTCCGCATTACGCTCCGTTTGCTCTCAACACCATCGCCTCCAAAGGGATTGCGACAAACTCTTCTGAAGGGCTTCCAACGCCTTCTGGTGCGGCCCACACCGCATCGTCCAAAATATACACAAGTATCCCGCCTTTGCCATCGACCGACGCGCTCACCCTGAACATCGGCATCCGTGACTTCTCGTGGGCACGTCCCGCAGGAATCACAAGCAAGTTGTGCTTTGCCGCATACTCCTCCACGATGCTCTTGAACGTGACCTCCTGCGTCCGCACCGCATTGAGCGTCTTCTTCTGCACCACGGGCGCCTTCGCAGCTGTCTCCTTCGCTCCAATTTCCGCACGGAAATCCGGTTTCGCCAGCTTCGCAGGCGCATTCGCGCCCAGTTCAATCGCATCATTCATCAACTGCAGTCCACGCGTAAATCCACGCTCCGCGCCTTTCACCGCTACAGCGCCCTTCCAGAACGTATACCACTGGGCAACCTCCTCGAAGCTGACCCTGGGCTGTACAAGCCAGAAATGCAGCGTATCCAGCCACTTGGGGAAAAACTCTGTCTCCAGCAGCTGGGCGGTAATTGACGTGTGGAGCAACGGCGCCCAAGCCAAAACAGCCTCAATAGGTTGCATATCCTGGTTCCGCGGGTTGACAGTGAAATCGTCGCGAAGCGTCGCGCCGAGCTTGGGGACAATGGATTTAAGCAGAAGATTGTCCCATTCCGGACCACCAAACACGTCTCTCCAGGGCGCAAGGTCGTCCGGTACTGGTTCACCTGCATTCCAGCGCCGCAGCACACTCTTCACTTTCCGACGTGCCTCGCTCGTGAGTTCGTCCATGCGCAATCCGAGATGAGGGAGCCATGGGAATACGATACTTTGTAGCGACGCCTTGTCAAGCTTGGGAGACCAGTCGGCGACTGCCTTGCGAACCTTAGGCAGTACTAACTGGTCCATAACGTTATCGGCTATAAAACGAGGCAGGAAGGCGGACCACGCTTCGTATAGCCTGACTACGGCGTCGGGTTCGTGCGCTGACCACTCATTGTTGATGGCACTGCGAACCTTTGGTAGCCAGACATTCCACAGAAGGCTATCAAACGGAGACATTGGCTTCACTCTGAATAGGTCAGAATGATAACCAAAAAGGTAATGAGGCGTACGCACTGAGAGTCTGCGGGTGATTTGTACGTTGGTGCGCCAAAAGCATCGACTTGTGTTTCTTCCTTAGGAGCCTGGGATACAGGTAATGCACCAGTCCATTTACCAAGTATGTCAACGAGGTATCCAGGGTTTTGTAATGGATTCCACTGCTGGAGTAGCCGTCGAGCCTGTAAAGCTGTAAGCCGGGACCAATACGAGGGACGAAGAAACGCACGACTGGTGCAATAGCACCGACAATGATTTGGTCTAGGTGGTATACAGCAAATTCTCGGCCAAAATCCCTCAGAAGTCGCTCGATGAGGGGATCAAAGGATTCAAGGGCGGGCTCGTAGCTGCTCGACAAGTTCTTTGCAGTTGCTTGGAGTTCATTCGTCACCAGCTGTATCTGCTGGAGACGGGCGATGACTGGCACATTTGTTAGATCCACTCGTGAGGGAAATCAGCAACTCACGTCTAGCTTCTTCCTCGACTTTCTGTCTCAGGCGCGCATCATCCCGTATTGCTTGCTTCTTCTTCATATCGACAAGCCGAGCCTCACTAGCAAGCTCGGCTACTTGCGTTTTACAAGAGTCACGAATGAGTCGAACGTTGTGTCTGATTTCAGGAATACGTTCAGGGTCGTTGGAAGCGCCGTAGGAACCAGCGATGGAAACTTCGGCAAGTGAGCCAACCTCCCGTGGCTTTCGTTTGGTTAGAAAATGTTCTACTTTTAAAGGAAGGAAACATACCACTGCGCCTGTTGCGTCGATAATTTGACCAATGCCCGACGTCGACGTCTCCCCAGCGTCCTCGAGGATTTGATTGTAGGTCTTGTGCTCGACCTTGGTCTTGATCTTAGAAGGTTTCTTCCATGCGTCTGACCGCTTCTCCTGTGCTTTGCCTTTGCCTTTGCTCCTGACTTTACTCCTAGCCTCTTCCTCTTCGTCACTCACGTCCTCTCCACGACGCTTAGCCTCTCGTTTAGACTGGTCTGTGCGCTCCTTGAAGCCGCGGAATGCAATTCCAGAGCGTCCGGGACGCATCTTGGTTTCGACGGGCGTGACGATACCCTCGCCTGATGATCCCAGCCCAGCACCTGCTTGCCAGCCCATCTTCTGCAGCATACGGGCACCAAAGGAGCCTGAAAGTTTCTGGAAGTGAGCCTGTTCACTGGGATCGAGAACGCGTTCAGGTTTTGGAGCAGCGCGCTGGAAAGAAGTGGATTTATTGGCCCCAAAAGACGAAGGAACGTCGCTGGATATGTCGGATGGACGTTGGCGTGCATCATCAACGCCTTGTGCAAAGCTGGTGAATGAAGGAGTTTCAGAGACGTCGCGTGCGTGGGCGCCAAAGCCAGCCTTTGCG